CATTTGCCAATTTTGAGTTGCCTTTGCTTGGGGAAGTGGTAAGCTCCCCATCACAGCCGGTGTGCAAGCAAGAGCCACTTGAGAGAGTCTGCAAAGGACACTCAGCATCTAGCAGGGCTAGGTGGGCTGGATTTAGGGGGCCAATGGATTCCACTGGGTCTCTGAGATCCCTCTAGCCAGAAAGTCTATGGCAATGATTCCCCACATGGAAGGTTATGTATGAACAACCCCTGGGAGCCTGATTTACTGAGGCCCCTCTGTGCTCCTAGTGGCCAGGTGGCTGGAGGCCAAGGAGCAATGATGATAAGGCCCCAAGCCCAAGGGAAAGGCAAGTAGTCGCTGATCTACAGAGTGGAGGTCAGAGAGAAGCAGTGATTCCAGTGGGAGAAGGGAGGGGAGGGAAAGCAAGGAGGGCTTCTGGGAGGAGGTGAGAGGTGATAGAAAGTGGGAGGATGGAGGCATGGTTGGGGTGGGGGAATATGCTCCAGGGTCAAAGGTTTGGAGGAAGGAGATTTTGCAAATCATTGGGAAAGTGGTGAAGGTCAAAGTGGTGGCCGGCTGACCGTGAAGAGTTAGAACAGAGAGTTAGGGGTGAGGAGTAGCAGGCAGGGTCACCTGGCCCACCTTGCCCTCTTGTGGTGGGGGTGACACCTGTCACCCTGCAGGGGGAGGGCCAAGGCCAAAGGCAGTTGATGTCTTTCAAGCTCCCTTCTAGGTTTGGTGACCCCTGGGAGCTCACGTTGCCCTCTAGAAAGTGGGGTGCTCTTCACAAGGGGCTTAGTACTCCTCTGAGTTCCCTGGACTGGCCTGGAATTCCAGTTTGGAAGCTACGTACTCCCGGGAGGCCCCCGGCTGAAAGCACAGACCCCTCTGGGGTCTCTCTGACCCCCGGAACCGGCCACCACCCTGTGGTCCGTGGGGCCAAACAGCAGACTCGCCCGGCCACACCTGGCTGACGGGCCGTGAGTTTTATCAGCGTGGGGGGACCTGCCTTCCAAACCCGGGCCCTCGACTCCAGAGGCCAGCTCGTTTTCATGGTGCTTCCCCTGCTCGGGGCCGCTGCAGGCCCACCCCCCGCCACACCCCTGCTCGCCCCAGGGACAGCTATTCTCCAACCATCTCTCCCGTGACTTTTCACAGTCTCTACCGGCTTTCTGAGCATCTCTGCCTGCTTTTGTAGCATGGAGGAGGGAGGCCAGGGAAGGAAAGCAGCGGGACAAGTTGGCTAAGCCCCTGGAAGCCCTGTTGTGACTTATCCGCCTCTCACTGGCATTCCCTCTTGCATTTCCCTCCTCCCGGCAGGCTGGGGGACTCTCCGCTCACGGGGGACTCTCCGCTCACCCGGGACTGTCCTGAGCCCCCTGGAGCCCCTCCAAGGGTGAGAGGCCTGGGTGGTGATCCCCAGAGGCAGGAGTTCAGCGGCATCGAGCCCTTGCGCGAGGAGGCCTCCGGCCAGCAAGAAGCAGGCGTTAAATCCCCAGATGGCCAATCTCTCCCCGTTCAGCAAGCCCAGAGCCAGGGGGCCCCAGGCCCAGGCTCGTGGACCGGGCAAGGAGAGGCGGCTCCCCATAGCCGGTGTGGACGGTGGCCACCTGCCCCGCCACGTGGACCCAGAGAGGGGCAGGCACCTGCCACACTCACATGGCCCATCTCCCACTGCAGTCAAGCAGGACTGAGACCTGCAGCCCTCCTCACGTGGTTGGGGTGGGGGAACATGGAGCATGTGGTTGGTCCCTGCCAGGGGACGGCACGGCAGTTCTGACGCCAGCTCAGGGTGGAAGATTCCATCATAGGTCCCAGAGAGGTCAGGAAGGTGAGCACTGGGTTGGGCAGAATCTTCCAGAAGCTCCCTTCTGGAACCACTAGAAAGAGAGACTCATCCTGGCACCCCGACTTATCAGCCTTGGATGAGTGACTTCACCCGTGTGAGCCTCAGTTTTATCACCTGGAAAATGGGGTAAGGATTCGCTGTGAGGTCACGTGTTTTAGAACATGGCCTGACCTTCTGTGTTTTATAAATGTTAGCTACTCCTCTTATTGTCATCATCACATTCCCTCCTCCAAGGCAGGGATCAGCTGTCGTGGGGCCTGGAGGCCTGGAGACCAGCTCCGGGGACAGTTAAGCTGTGCAGTACCTGGTGACGGGTGGGCTCACTGCCTGAGCCCTGCATTGCCGGCCCTGGCGGCCAATCAGACATGGCGGGTCCCACATGGGAGCCAACTTGGCTGGACGGCCGGGGGCTGCTGGGCTGCACTGGACACATGGGGGCCTGCCAGGGGCAGGTGCAGACTTGGCTTGGCACATCTCCTGGAGAATTCTTGGGCTGGGTCAGGCCTGGTAGGGATGGGCCCCAGCCGGGGATACGTGTGGCCAGTGTGGAATGGGAATGGGGATCACGTCCACTTTTCTTTTGTCTGTCTCTTTGCCTTTTCAGCTCCCCAGACATTTTCAGTGGCCCGAGGGCTGGAGGGGGTCATGGTAGCCCTGGTAACCAACTACAAGGCAGAAACCCTCTCCCCAAGCTGACTGGGGGTGACACGTGCTCGCCACTTTTCACCAGAGGATGGTGACCCACTCACAGTCACAGAGCTCAAGGGGTCGGGCCTTGTTGCAGCCTTGAATTTTCCCAGCTGGTGTGGGTGGCCCTGCCTTGGAAACTCCTGACCTCAAATGGCCCAAGGCCAAGTCCTCCCAGCTGGTTCCAGGCCTCAATATACTGTGTGTTCTCGGCCAAGGGCCCCTTCCTGGGCCTCTGTCCCTTGGGTGCAGAGATCCGGTTGGCCCACTACAGGCGGAGGTCCTGTGGTTTGGACAGTGTCTGGACCCCACCCACTCTGAATGGCCCCAAACAGGTGCCTGGCAGGGAGGCCTCCATCCTGTCCTTTGTCATCCTCCAAACTGTCGTCCGGACCCAGAGCACTATTTAAAGGGCCATCCCTGAGGACCTCCAGCCCTGCGGCGACGAGAGGGAGCTCTCCAGACCATGGTAGGCTGGGACTGCCCTGCCTCCTGACCCTGACCTCGTTCCTCAACTCTGACCTCATCCTGCGACCTTGACTTCATGTGTGATCCTGACCTTCACCTCATGCCTGAACTCACCCTGACCTTGACCTTGCTCCTCTTGCTGACATCCTTGACCTTGACCTGATGTTGTCCCTAGGCCTGACCTTTTTCTTCACCCTTGATGTTATCCCTGCACCTGACCCACCCTGGACTGTCCTTAATGAGCAGCCAGTCTATCCATGTAGGTCCCAATTTGCATCTTTGCTTCCTGGACTCATCGGGGGCTGCCGAGGTGAAATGGCAGGGGAGGTAGGAACGAGGAAGAGGAGGGTAGAAGGAGACAGCGTGGGCGAGGCTTGGAGGTTTCATGGCAGAAGCAGGACTCTGCTCCCATTAAGAGGACATGGTTCCCTGGGGAAGCAGGGTTGATATTCCAGGATAGCCTGGGGCCTCCACGGACTGGTGTGAGGCCTGCCCTGCTGCCCTCCCCCTGTCTCTAGCCCCTTGGGTGTCCCTGCAGGCTCTCAGTGGCACGGCTCTTTCATGTCCCTGTCTCACACCTTCACTCTCCCTCCTGGCCTGAGAACTCTCACCTGGCTGTCAAGCCTCAGCTCAGAGGCCACCTCCCCCGAGAGGTCTGCCCTGAGTGCCCCAATGGCATAAGGGCTTCTCTGTGTTCTCAGTGTCTGTCCATCCCTCCCCACTGATCATCTGTCTCCCTGCTGGACAGGGGGACCCTTGGGGACAAGGCAGGGTCTGATTCAGCGCTGGGGCCCCTGGACAGGGCACAGGGCCTGGATGGAGGTCAGCAGCAGGCACCTAATCAATGTCCCGATGCTCTGAGGTAGGCATCATCTTGGTTTTATAAATGGAGAAACTGAAGCTCAGAGCAGGCAATTGATGTTCTCAACATCGCAGGGCTGCTCAGGTCTGGGTGACCCCCTTCTGCCCCGAGGTGTTCCCTTCGGAAGATGTTCATTTCTTTAGGGGCACATTCTAAAAGGCAATTTCCAAGACGGCTGGGCTGGGAGAGCAGGGGGGCCGCTCAGGGCCCTGGGGCTCAGGGTGCCCCCGGGGAGTCCGAGAGAACAACCCAGTCCTCCCTTGGGGGCTCTGGAGGAGGGCCTGGCACACAGTGGGGCGACGGTCCACGACAGGGACACGGAAGGCTGGCTGAGACAGGGCTGGGGGACACCCAGGCCGAGGGCAGGTCTGAGGAGAGAGAGGGCAGTGTATCCCACAGACGGAAGTGATTGTTTTTTATTAATCAGAGGGAAATGTGTATGTAATTATGTGAGATGAGCCCCGCAGGGAGGTTCCTTTCTTTATGATGTCTGAAGGGATTTATAAATATTACAGAGGTTTACAGCACATAACGTCCTGGCTGCCCTGCGAGCCCCATTTCAAAGGATTAGTGGAGACAAAGCACCCAGTAAAAGCTAATTATAAGTCAGCCGTTACTGTTGCTCCTGAGCCTGGGAGCCGGAGGGGAAGTGGGGGTGAGCGCGGGCTGGGGGGGGACAGGCGTGAGCTTGGGGAGGGGAGACCACACAGGGGCCCGGGGCGGGGGAGGCAGGGGAAGCCCCCGCTCTGGGGTGGGGTGGGCAGAGGCTTGGTACCACTGACATGGAGGCAGGGGCGCTGGGCTGGTGGGGGGACACCCCACTTGCCCCTCCGGCCCTGTGAAGCCAGGGCTGTGCTTTCCCACCTCACGAGCCAAGTCTGAAAGTCCTTGGTGATAGCTGCCGAGGGCAAGGTCCCCTGGGGGGTCTTGGGGACCCAGAACTTTCAGGGAATGCTCAATGGTGGGCTCTCAGGCCCCTGATATCCTGAGAGAAGCATGTGGAGGCAGGAAGGCTGGCCAGAGACCCTCCGTGTGGGGGGTCGCCTGCTCTACCTGCTGTGGAGATGGGTTCTGAGCTCTGGGCAGAAGTTTCCCGATGGAGCCGCGCTCCGAGCTGGGCCCTGGGTGGGCGCAGGGGAGCCCCGAGGTGGGATGGCCGCAGGGAGATATAGGTGGACCGTGTCCTCTCCGCTATACCCCCTGGGCTCCCCTGACCAGGTCAGGAAGCCGCTGACCAGCCTGTGGGGTGGGGGCCCCCAGGTTTCTGGCCTCAGGCTGGACAAATGCCCCCCCTTATCCACAAGGCTTCCTTAGGAGCCCTGTCTGTCTGCTGCACCCTGTGGCCCAGGGTGGCCGTGTCGTTCGGTACCGTGACACGCTGGGAGGGGAGGCGCGGGGGGCGGGCGGGGTGCACGGCTAACCTCCGGCGGAAGGCCGTCTGCCACCTCCCAGGCACCCAGAAGAGCCCGCAAGAGAGCGGAAGGTGGAGCCGGCTCCAATGTCTTCTCCACGTTTGATCAGTCCCAGATCCAGGAGTTTAAAGAGGTTGGTCAGTGCCCTCTGGGGCCACCGGGAGGATTAATGCGATGCATGGAAACACTCAGGGGGCTGGCAAGGCCCCGGTCGCCCTCAGTCCCTGGGGGTGATGATGATGTCGCTATCCTTAGAGGCCGCCATGGTGTGCCTCCGAGCCCGGAGACGTGACTTGCGGTCTTTGGGCAACCCCCGCCCCTCTCTACCTGAGCCTTTGCTTGCTGCGTGACCTCGGGCGAGTCCTTCTGCTCTCTGAGCCTCAGTTTCCCTCTCTGTAAAATGGGGTTGCTGCAGCATGAAGTGAGGGATGGGCATGGCATCCCAGCTACGTGCTGGCGTGCGGTGGGAGCTGAGCGGGTCAGCCAACGCTCTCGTGCTGGGGCCGTGCTGAGCCAGGACGTCAGCTGGCCAGAGGTTACCCAGGCAGCGGTGTGCAGGACGACAGTCCCTTGGGGGAGCAGGGTTCTGGGGAGGGGCCTGGGCTTGGGCGAGTGGGTAGGAGGCTGCTCAGTACCCATGTCTCCACCAGGCCTTCACCATCATGGACCAGAACCGGGATGGCTTCATCGACAAGGAGGACCTGAGGGACACCTTTGCTGCCTTGGGTGGGCGACCAGCAGCTGCAGGGGCTCAGGGCTTGGGGCAGAACTGAGCCCAGGCCTTCTGGAAAGAGTGGGTGCCTGGGGACAGGCCAGGGCAGCAGTTGTAGTGGTTGTGAGGGGCTTGGGTGCCCTGGGGGCACAGGGGAGGGGTGGCCCGTGACTGGAAGGTACGATCTGGGCCGAGGACGCAGGGGGGGCAGCAGGAGCACAAGTGACCCGTGCAAAGGCCTGGCTTAGGAGGCCAGGGTGGGGGAGGCAGCCAAGAGAGCAGTGGGAGATGCTGGGGGAGGAGGCCAGACACGTCCGCAGGGCTCAAGGCTACCGGGTTTCGGCTGCCAGGGGAGGCTTCTGCCCTCTCTAAGGGCCCAGGGAGAGGACTTAAGGCATGAATGGGGAGGGGGTTCAGGTCAGGGGAAGGGGGCATAGCTAAGTCATGTCGAAACTAAGCTTTGAGCTCTCGGAAATGTGATTGTCCGCTGGGACCATGAGGAACCCCAGAGTCCGCCCACCCCCAGATGACCTCCTCCCGGGGCACATGAGCTCTGAGCTCCAGGTCTTCTGGCCCCTATGCACCTCCGCTTCAGCTTCTTTGGGCCTCAGTTTCTTCACCTGTGAAATGGAGATAATCACCAACTTGCTCTCCTGTCCAGGGAGGCCGGGGTGGTAGCGGGGGGTGGGGGCAGGGGGACTGGGGGCAGCCCAGTGCTAACTGTGGCTGAATGTGTCCCCCTCTGAAGGTCCCCCAGCAGGTGGGCAGGGCCTGAGGGCTGGGGGGGAGGGGATGTGGAAGAGTAGAGCTGGGAGACCCTGCAGGAAGCTCCCTGGTCCTGAGCTCTGCTCTCCTGGGCTGCCTGCAGGCAGAGTCCCCTCTGTCCCTCATTGTGCTCCTGGGTGTCCCTCCCCCTCCCCCAGGCCGCATCAATGTGAAGAACGAGGAGCTGGAGGCCATGGTGAAGGAGGCCCCTGGGCCCATCAACTTCACCATCTTCCTGACCATGTTTGGGGAGAAGCTGAAGGGTGAGTGAGGCCCCAGGTGGCCCTGGGGAGGGGCTGGGCAGCCTGGCTCTGTGTGCAGACAGCTGGAAGCATGGTGTGGCCCCAACTGCCAGCCCCCTGGGCCCCACCCCAGTTTCCACTTCTACACCAGGGTAGGAATAGGGCCTCCCGGGGGCGGGAGGGGACAATTTGTGTGAAAGCCCTCCGCCCACCAGGGGCCCCAGCCCCACTTCCCTACCCCTGGGCTCGCCTTACCTGCCCTGCCTCACGACCAACAGGAGGAGGGTTACTGGGAGTGGGATTCTGGAAATTACTACGACTGACCCCAGCTCCGGGAGGGTCACTCACACAGCTTCCAGGGAACAACTCGAGGGGCTCAGAGGTGTCACCATATGAGTACCAGGCACCCACGCATCAAAGTGGCAGGGATAGAACCCTAACCACGACTCTGGGCTCTAACCATGGCGCCTCCCGAGATGCAGCATCGGGCCGGGGGCATGGGGTCAGGGCAGCGGTCCAGGCAACTCTGTCCCTTTCTCTCTGGGCCCCAGGGAGCTACCCTCTGCCCCTTTGTAGCGTTTTCCTGGGCTCGAGTCTTCCCTGGGCAGAGGGAGGGGGCCAACCTGGGCTGAGGCTGCCCTGGGAGGTGAGACTCCTCCCCACTCACCCTCGGGCTGCCCCTGCTGGATGCCCTCCCACTGATCCCCGGGGTGACCTTGGGCCAGGCTTGTCTGCTTTGCACCTCCATTTTCTGTCTGTAAAGTGGGGGTTGTGTTGGTTTCCCGAGGCTGCCCTAACAAAGAACCACAAACTTGACAGCTCAAAAAAGCCTCAATGTGTTCTCAGTTCCAGCGTCTAGAAGTCCGAAATCCGGCAAGAGGCTCCATCAGGGGCTCGAGGGGAGAGCCCCATTTTTTTTTTTTTTTTTGCCTTTTCTGGCCTCCGGTGGCTGTCTCGCTCCAATCCCTGTCTCTGTGGTCCCACCGTCCCCTCTTCTGTCTGCCCACCTTCCTGTCCCTTACTCTTAGGACACTTGTCACTGGATTTAGGGCCCATTGGGATAGCCCAGGATGATCTCCTCATCTCAACATCATTTCCTTACATCTGCAAAGGCCCCTTTTTCAAATGAGGTGACATTTCCAGTTTCCAGAGATGAGGACATGGGCATATGTTTTGGGGGCCACCCTCAACCCACTCCAGGGGTGACCTTGGCCACATCACTGATTATGTTTGGCGAGAAATCCTAATAGTGTCGTAGGTTGAGGCCAGCTGGGAAGTATAATAACCTCTACACACCCTGTCCTGGCTGATCCTGGAGCTAAAGGCCAACAATAGACCCGCCCTCCCAGGGAAACTGAGGGCCAGACGTGGGGCCCGAGGGGAGCCTGGAGCTGGCCCTCCTCTGGGAAGCTCGTTAGGGCTTATTCCCAGGACCGTGGCCTCCTCCTTGAAGAGCTCAGAAGCCTGGGGGGCTGGGGCAGGGGTATGCTCCTGGGAAAGACTTGTGGGACTCTAGCCGGTGACTCTACGTGGGAGGCCGGAAGCTCGTGTGGGTGCACGAGCCATCGCTAAGACATGGCTAAGAGCCATGACCCAGGGCCAGGCGGGGCCCCATAGGGGCCAAGAGACTGCAGTTTTTTCTCAGTTTTGCAGGGGTCCCTGCTGGAGTCCAGCTCCAGCCGGGGTGGGTCTCTCGTAGGAAAGGACGGCGTCAGCAAATGAGGAGACGCAGACACAGGATCAGGTTGCAAGCATCTCCTCCTGATAGCCTCGGAGGAACTTTATATGTTAGGATATTTTTGTTTTTCCAAATCTTAGATCATTTTCTGGATTACAGCCATAGCCTTCTTTCATTTTTCCTTTGTAATGATTAACATGACCTTTATTGATTTCCACTTATTGACTCTCACTAAAACTAAAAAACAGTACGCAAAGAGAAAGGTGCTAGACAGAGCGTGACCGTCTTTTTATTTTGTTCTATAGAAACTAATTCTTCGTGGAATTAGTTTCATTATGATTGCTTAGATAGGCGTAACTAAGATGAGTAGTCACTTTATCGTGAGACCCCAGAAATATTCCCACAGTTATAAAGATTGCCATAAACAAAATGAAAGAGAATAGCAGGAGCCAGCTGTGGAGTCTCCTGTTTTCAGGATCGTCCCCCATACTTGGACCTTGTCAAACAGCATGAGTAGCTTGGCTCGTGCCAGGTCCCAGGACTGGGGGCTCCCTCTGAGCTTGTCACATGAACTTGGCTGAGCCTGCACACTTGGCCAGCAGTGGGGACAGGAGCTGGGGGGCTGGAGCAGGCCCCATCATCCCTCTAACTGGGATGAGGACACTTGGTCACCTGATTCCCAATGGCCACTCTGTGGCCCATTCATTTGTGTGGTTTGCCGTCCGCAGAGCAGAGACCCTCTCTGTGGGGAGAGAGGGGAGGATTGGACTGTGGTCACTGTGTGGACACTGGGCCTGAACCTGGGGCCGCTGGTCCTCAGGAAGGTGGGTTGGAGCCAGTCCGCCCCAGCAGCGAGGACTCTTCACATGCCCTGGGAGGCCAAGACCTCCCACCAGCCCCCCACCATAATCCCTGGGACACCCCCTCTGCTTCCGAGGCCAGGCGGTGAGTGCCTGGGGCTCTGCCCCAGAGGGACCCTGGGCTGAGCCTCTGGCCTGGGCACAGGGGCTCCCTGCTGCCCTCGGTGGAGGAAGCCCACGGCTGTGCCCTCCCCGAAACCCAGGCCAGCGGTGCCAGCCTTGAGCCAGGCTCGGCCCCTCACTCGGCCTCAGAGTCGCCGAGTGACTCAGATGGCATCCTGTTGGGAGGAGGCCCCAGTCTGGCAGGTGGGAGCACAGAGCAGCAGGGAGCTCTGGAGTCCAAAGAGTCGGTTTCAGACCCTTCCTCCCGCTCTTCGTGGGGACCTCAAGCAAGGTCCTCTGGCTTGGTTCCTTCTTTGACAAGCTGAGGACATCGATACCTACCACACAGGGTGTTCTGGTGGAGGGGGTGGGGGGCGTCCCAGGAGCCAACATGCCACAGAGCACTCAGAGGGGTTTGCGACCGTGACCCATCAGTGTTTGACCCGATCTTTACCATTAATGACCCGTTTTGCAAGCTGACCCTGGGAGGTGGGCAGCAAACACACCTTTTCCTCCATGTCACTGGTGACAGAGCTGAGCCTTGAGGAAGGAAGGGGACGTGCCTGGTCCGCGGTGAGCAGGGTGGCAGTGTGAGAGGGGAGAGAGCATCAGGGAAGGGTCACCAGGTCGCCTGCTGTCATTCATAGCTGTGAGGCCTTGGGCCAGACCCTGCCTCTCTCTGGGCCTCAGTTTCCCCATCCGTACAACCAGGGGCTAGCTAGTCCATCCCGTTGTGGTCATAGACATTCCTTCTAATGACATCTTTCCCCCAAGCCCACATCGGGGGGTGGGGGGGGTGATAAACCAGAACTGCTCTGCCCTCCCTCCAGCCCACTGTCCTCCACCCGCCCCATCTCTGGCCTGGACCATCTTGCAGACCCTCCAGCGCCCCTGCTCGAGCCCAGCCTTCAGCCCCCAAGTACAGCACAGTCTTTTTGACCTGCCAGCTCTCATGCACATCTTGGGTCATGAGGGAGCCCCAGAAGTGCCCCCACCCCAACCCCACCTCACTAATCTGAGCTTCAGTTTCTTCGCCTATAAAGTCAGGCCAATCATCAGGAGGGTTAAGCATATAGTAAGTGCTCAGTTGGGGTCTCCATGTACAGCTGAGCAGGCTGCTCATAACTACACACAGTGCTCTTGGTCGTTACTCCTATTCTTCTCAGAAATCTCCCTTCTCTTGCTCCCACTGTGGAGTGGAAGTTGGGGAGGAAGCCCAGCCCCCAGCCCCGGCCTGTGCTCTTCACCCTATTCTCTCCCTGCCTGTATGTGCTGTTTCTAGGTACAGACCCGGAGGAGACCATTCTCCACGCCTTCAAGGTGTTTGACACTGAAGGGAAAGGGTTTGTCAAGGCTGATTTGTAAGTCCCCTCTGCCCTTCATTTGGTTTTTCTCTCCCCAAAGGCTCAGGTGATCAGTGAGCTAGGGTGAGGTCAGGGTGGGTTGCAGCCCAGTCTCCTCCCCCACCCAGCTCGGTCAGTGTCTGGCCAGGAGCCAGGAGGGCACTGCCCTGCCCAGCTCAGCCATCGCTCAGTGTCCCCCCTTCCCCTCTCTGGGACCCAGTGTCCCCATTTCTGTGTGGAAGTGTATAGGGAGTGTGGGGTCACCAGGGGTGGGTTTCCCAGTGGTAGAGGTGGGCCTTGAAGGGCAACGAAGGGTTGCCTAGGCTGGGGCAGGGAACATTCTAGATGCCAGAACATAGCTGTGAAGGGACAGGGCTTGGCGTTTGCGGGGCTGGTAAGGGGGCGGCTGGAGGGCATGGGGGAAACTGGGTGGGAGAGGCTGAGCACAGAAAGGGTTTGTGTGGGGCAGCTCATGCAACAGGCCCTGGACTCCGGGTCTGCCCTGGGGGCCACTGGGCTGGCACCACGGAGGTGGGGACCCCGATGTCCTCTGTGCCTCAGGCCAGTGAGAGCACTGAGCAGAGCCGAGGTTGGTGGGTGGGGCAGCCTGCCCAGGGGCTAGGACACTGAGCTGTCCCCGGGGAAGTCCCTTCAGAGCCTCCGAGGTCTCACTGGGCCTGTGGGTGGCCTGGGGCAGGCAGAATTTCCTCCCCAGGCACATGCTTCCCGACTGATTACTGTGATGCTTGAGGCCTTGGCTTTGAGGCTAGATTTGCTGCCCGCTAGAATCATCCCATAATGGGGGCGGGCGGGGGAGGGCAGGAGAGGTCAGGGGGGAGCGGGGGGGGGGGGAAACCAGGGAAGGTCCATCTTGTCTCTCACACCTTCTCGCCACCCCCCACCCCCCAAAGTTGTGAGGCACATGGCCCCCAGGGGTAGGTGAGGGGTTGTTCAGGGTTCCTGCAGGCTGGGGCCCTCTCCTTCACCCCTCCCTCAGGGTCCATGTTTCCCACAGCCATCTTGGGGACCCCCAGGAGACACTGAGGGCAGCCCCGGGAGTGGTCTGGACCAACCCCTCTCCTGGCACGCACCCTCACTCCCCCCAACACCAGGCCAGGAACACTTCAGGGACCCAGTTTGGGAACCGAAGGCCTCAGCCCTGGGGCCATCGAACCCGGAAGACGTGGCTGCCCGCCAGGCAGGCCACAGAGGAGGCTCTGGCTGAAGCGGAGTCTGTGAATAGTCCCCAGCTCAGAGAGTCGGAAACTGTGACTGTCCCACAGTAACATAAATAATGGAAAATGCACGTCGGCCCTTAGTGGCGCTCAGGCCTGGCTCGGCCCTCTGATCCCTTCCCTGCCCGCTGTGTCCCCCAAGAGGCCAGGTGGGGGGAGCCCTCCAAGCTCCCGGGGCATCAGGCCTCTGGAGCGTCACCTCCTGCCGCTCCTCCAGGCCCCCGGGCAGCTCTGGCCCCGCACTGTCATTGCCAGTCCTGACATCTCCCGAACCTCAGCAGTTTCTCTGTGAAGGGGGCTCACAGCCCTGGCTTCCCAGGGCTACGAGGAGCAAAGGAGACCTGGGCAAGGCTTTCTCATGCCTCGGCCGAGTGCAAGCCCCTTGTACGCTCGAAGGCACGATGCACATGTCCGCGCAAGTCCCTGGCTGAACCAGCAGTGCATCCAGAAGAGATCGAAGGATCCATCTGAGGCCACACAGACATCTGGCCGGCGTCCTTCTGGGGCACAACGCCTCCCCACCACCTGTCCGCTCTCACCCCCCCGCCACCCCGGGATCTGCACGTGCACACCGGGGTGGCCCTTCCCCTGAACCTGACCCTTCCTCTTCCCCCTGAGCAGCATGAAAGAGAAGCTCATGACCCAGGCCGACCGGTTCAGTGAGGAGGAGGTGAGTATGGGTTTTCCAGGACACTGCCTAGAATCTTCCAGGGGAGGTCCTGCCCGGCCCAGGCCCTTCTCAGCAGCCCCTCCCCGAGAGATGGCTCTTTTTTAGATGCCGACATGATGACCCCTCTGACTCCTTGGACGATGACAGGGATGAGTGGGGCTGACTGTAGGCCCGTGGCCATCCCTGCCTCCATCTGCAGAGAGGGGAGCCACGTTCTGCCTGACGCCCTCGGGTGACACCCCCCCCGGCTCTGGTCCCCCCCTCCACCCGAGTCCAGGCTGACTCCCTGCTCCTTCCCCAGGTCAAGCAGATGTTTGCGGCTTTCCTGCCAGATATGTGTGGTAACCTGGATTACCAGAACTTGTGCTAGGCCAGGGACCCCCCAACACTTGGAGGCAGCAAACACCTGCCATGTTTTGGGGGTGACACCTGGGGAGCCCCCTACAGCCAACATGTGCAAAGGAAAGGCTCCCCTCACCCTGCAGCTCAGGGGCAAAGCGAGAATAAAGAATGCTAACCAGGCCTGAGTTTTCGTGATGAATGCTCCGGTTGGGGAGAAAGCGAAACACTCCTGCGTTGTTGGTTTTTCCAAAACTTTTTTACTCCCCCGGCTTTGCTCAAATGTTCCTGAGGAGCTGGTGTTTAGAACTAATTGACCGTTTTAGTGATCCCCAGCTAGGCCACGGGACATGCCTTCATTTAGGAAGCTTTTATTGAGCACCTAGGGCGTGCCAAACCCCCGTGCCAGTCCGGGGGACACACAGACGAGCCAACCCTGTCCCTGGGCCGGAAGGTGGTGCAGTGAGCCGGACAAGAAGTGGGGTGGGGGCACGGGGAGAGGGGTCAGAGCAATGCTCCCTAGGAGCTGGGCAGAGGCCAAGAAGGTAGACACAAGTGGGCGGAGCCAAGAGATGTTTAAGGAGCAGGTGAGGATTCCTTAAAGAGGACACATGTCGCACCAACCACAAAATGAAAATGCGTTAAGTTGGATTTCATCAAAAGTAGACATTTCCCCTCAGCGAAAGACACGTTGAAGAGTGTGAAAAGGCAAAGCCCAGTGTTGGGAATAGATTTTGACAAAGAATTCATATCCCAAATATACTTTTAAAAAGTCCTAGGGGCGCCTGGGTGGCTCAGTCATTAGGTGTCTGCCTTCGGCTCAGGTCATGATCCCAGGGTCCTGGGATGGAGTCCCATGTTGGGCTCCCTGCTCAGTGAGGAGCCTGCCTCTCCCTCTGCCCCTCCCCTTGCTGCTGCTCACACACTCTCCCTCTCTCTCTCAAAAATAAGTAAATAAAATCTTTAAAAAAAAAAAAAAGACTTCATGGAGAAACATTTTTTAAAAATCCTACACATCCTTAATGGAAAGCTAACAACCGCACACACACACACACACACACACACAAGTAAATGCCAAAAAATAGTCTCCAAATGGCCAAGAAAGACCTGAAAAGATGCTCAACTTCAATGCTTGTAAGGAAAATGCAAATGAAAACCTCCTTACAGAACACACTCACCAGAATGGCTAAAGTTAAAAAGATTGACAACGCCAAGTGTTGGCAAGGATGTAGAACAAACAGAACTCTCGAAGTTGGGTCGCAGGAGCGTGAAGTGGGTCAACCCCTTTGCAGACTGGGCAGCACTTCCTCCTGAAGTTAAAATGGATACATTTCCTGACCTAGCACTCCCACTCCTACACAGAGACCTCCAGAAATGCCCATCACATGTCCTTCGAAAGACAAGTGTGAGCGCTCACAGATCTATAAGAGTCCCAAATTGGAAACAAGACGATGATCTTGATCTCAGGCTTGTGAGTTCCAGCCCCATGTCGGGGATAGATCTTACTTAAAAATAAAATCTTTTTTTTTTTTTTTGAGATTTTTATTTATTTATTTGACAGAGAGAGAAATCATAAGCAGGGGGAGTGGCAGGCCCCTGCTCGGCGGGAAGCCTGCTTCTCCCACTCCCACTCCCCCTGCTTGTGTTCTCTCTTGCTGTCTCTCTCTCTGTCAAATAAATAAAAATCTTTAAAAAAAAATAAAAAAAAAAATAAAATAAAATGATAGCATACTTAAAAATAACTTTTTTATTAAGATATAATTCATATGGGGCGCCTGGGTGGCTCAGTTGGTTAAGCGACTGCCTTCGGCTCAGGTCATGATCCTGGAGTCCCTGGATCGAGTCCCGCATCGGGCTCCCTGCTCGGCAGGGAGCCTGCTTCTGCCTCTGACCCTCCCCCCTCTCATGTGCTCTCTCTCTCTCATTCTCTCTGTCTCAAATAAAAAAAAAAAAAAAAAATCTTAAAAAAAGATATAATTCATATGCCATAAAATCCATCATTTTAAAGTATATAATTCAGTGGCTTTTAGTATACTCACAGGGCTGGGCAGCTGTCATCACTATCCATATCCAGGATATTTTCATTGCCCCCCAAAAAAACCCATTAGCAGTCACTCCTCATCCCTTTCTGTGCCAAGTCGCAACAACCCCCAATCTACTTTCTTTTTCTATGGATCTGCCTATTCTAGACATTTCATATAAATGGAGTCATACGGTATATGGCCTTTGGTGTCTGGCTTCTTCGCATGTTTCCATGGTTCGTCTGTGTTGTGGTTTTTTCCTCTTTATAGCTGAATAACATTCCATTGTATGGCTAGACCACATTTTGTTTACCCAGTCATCTCTTGATGGACATTAGGGATGTTCCCACTTTGGGGCTATTATGAATAACAGAGCTGTGAACATTCATGTGCAAGTTTTTATATGAGCATGTTTTTTGATTCTCTTCTAGGAGTGAAATTGATGGGTCATATAGTAACTCTATATTTAACTTTTCCAGGAATTGCTCAACTGCTTTTCTTTTTTTTTTTTAAGATTTTATTTATTTATTTATTTGAGACAGAGAGAATGAGAGAGAGAGAGCACATGAGAGGGGGGAGGGTCAGAGGCAGAAGCAGCCTCCCTGCCGAGCAGGGAGCCCGATGCGGGACTCGATCCAGAGACTCCAGGATCATGACCTGAGCCAAAGGCAGTCGCTTAACCAACTGAGCCACCCAGGCGCCCTCAACTGCTTTTCAAAGCACCTTTTCAAAGTGACTGCACCATTTTACATGCCCACTGGCAATGTTCGAAATTCTTCTACTTTCTTCACATCCTCACCAGCACTGTTATTTTGTTTTTTTTTTTTCTTTTTTAAATTAAAAAAAAAAATTTTTTTAAGTAAGTGCTACATCCAATGTGGGACTTGAACTCACAACCTGAGATCAAGAGTTGCACGCTCTATCAACTGAGACAGCCAGGCGTCCCACTGATTTTTTTTTTAAATAGCCCTCCTAGTGGATGTAAAGTGGCATTTTATGTTTTTGATTTGCATTTCCCTAACGATTGATGATGCTGAGCATCTTATCATGTTCTTATTGACCATTCTTATTTTTTTTTTTTTGAAAAATGTCTTTTCAGCTTTATGGCCCATTTTTAAATTGAGTTATTTATCTTTTTGGTTGTTGAGCTATAAGAGTTCTTTATATATTTTGATACTAGGTTCTTTAGATACATGATTTGCAAAAATGTTCTCCCATTCTGTGGATTCTCTTTTCACTTTCTTAATAGTGTTCTTTAATGCTTGTTCTTTCTTCTAAGAGTTTTATAGTTTCAGCTTCTGCATTTAGGACAATGAGACATCTTGAGGGTTTTGTTGTTGTTGTTGTTGTTTATGGTGTGAAGTAGGGGTCCAGCTTCATTCTTTGCCTATAGATATCCAGTTCTTCCAGGATTTGGAAGAGTGAGACTCTGTTCCCTCTTTGAGTGGTTTTGGCATCCTTGTCAAAGATGAACTCATCAGAGTTGTATGGGTTTAAATCTGGACTCTCATTTCCAATCCATCCAACTCGATGTTTCAGAGTGCATATTTTTTGATTCCACTTATGTGGAGTTCAAAATCAGGTGAAGCTAATTTATGGAGACAGAAGGCAGAATAATGGTTATTTCTGGGGTGGCGAAGGGCCATGAGAGAAACTTGTGGGAGATGAAAATCCTCCATGTCTTGATCTGGTGGCAGGTACTCAGGTATAGACATGAAAGGTGATCAAACGGTACCTTTAAGATTCGAGCTGTTAATGTACTTTACTATATTTATGTTCTATCCCAACAGGAAGGAAGGGAGCAAGAAAAAGGAAAAGGAGGGAGAAAGAAAGAGGAAAGAGAGGAAGTTAGCGGGGGAGGGAGGAAAAGAGAAAAGACAGTATGATCAGGAGATAGGGTAAAGATGATGGGCATCAGGGGGAGCTGTGGGGACATGGCTTTGGTGACTGATGGTGCCATGCCCTGGGTAGGGGGGAGGACTCGGAGGAAAAGTGGCTCCGGGGAGAAATGCTGAGTTCAGTTTGGGGCTGTGGGGTGTGAGTAGTGAGGAGCAAGAGGCAGATGGATGCTATGTCTAGGGCTCTGGGAGCCAGGACCTGGGCCTAGCTTGTGAAGGGATAGCCGGCAGTGGGACCAGAAGAGTCCACGGAGTAACCCTGAGCCCTTAGAGCCGGAGGAAGACCAGGCAGAGACCGGTGGTCAGCAGGCTGGGAGGTGAGACCCGAGGGAGAAGATCGGGTGGAGAAATGCCAACAACGTGGGATCCGAAGTGCCAGGCCCCAGGCTGAGGTCTGCACGTGCTCTTCGGCATCTCAGCCACGTGAGCGTGAGCACAGGACCAGAGAGGAAGGACAGAGCTTGCCCAAGGTCATTGGTGGGGCTGGGAGGGGAACCCAGGCAGCCCGGCTCTGAGCCTGCACCCGTAAGCTCTACCCCACACTACCGGCTGATGCAGTGGGATTGGTTGGGGTGGGGGGAGGGAGGGACTGAGCCCTCGTTGCCTCTGGGGGAGGTGGAGAGAGAGGTGTGCCCATCAGCCCAGAGCTCCCGGCTCAGATCACAAGGGCAAGGTCTGCGAGCAGGGGCTGGGGAAGGCCCGCGGCAGAGGAGAAGCAGTATTCCAAAAGAGCCCTCTCTCCGCCCAGGCCTTGTTCTTTCTGCTCTCTAAGAGTTTGGCTTTCCTGGAAATCAAGGTCTCCGCTGCTGAGGAACTCCTCAGACCTGTTCGTGCCCTGAGGAACCAGGCCAGAGCCAAGCTGGAGGGAGTGGATGCCATGGGCGCCTGCTCGCCCGCCTGACAGCTCCGGGCCACCCTGGTCTGTGACACCCCGCTTGCCCGCCCTGCACTGGCCCAGCTCCGCAAGGACACAGGGGCAGCCAGCCGGGAAGGCCCCAGGGGCTCCGCATGGCTCAGGAGAGGAGACCTGGGGCCCATTCATTCCTCTGTCCTTCAGACATCCATCCACTTACGCCCCCTCTGTTCCAGGGCCCAGTGATGATCAGTAACAC